ACACTCGTCATTTAAACACCCAGCACCCACGCTGTGTGAATAGCAAGTGAACTTGTGCCCATGTTTGTGTCTGTGGGTGTATCGGTCTTAAAATGAGATGTAAGGTGCAAAGGTGGTGCATTACAATTTTAGGGGTGCAGGGAAGTCTCACTTAGAGCAACAAAACCTTGACTGAGGTCTCAGTACATTCCTGATATTTAGGGGGCATTTTGAAGACAGTCAGAGTTCACAGGAAGCTTTTTCCGCTTCTAACATGCAGAGTCTGATGTGCAGCAGGGAGAGAGGGAAGTTGTTAATCTGTGTTTTTAGAGTCGATGTGGAAGGAGAGAATCTAATGTGCTTGCTGGAGCTCAGTCGTCTTCAAAGGAAACCTTGAAAACTGTGGTGTAAATAGTTACACCCCTCTTTATGGGACCAGGGGGGAGGGTCTTCGCTTTCAAAAATCTCTCCACACGTATAGACTTGTCTGGAGGTAAACATTGAAAATGTCACTTTTTAGACATTGAAGGGATATTCTGGTGTAAATTTAAGTTATGGTCAAACACACCGTAACACCGAGTTAGACAATCCCTCGAGAGATGAATGTTGCCGACTGCTTGCTTATACCAACTTTAGTAACAACCGCACAATAGCAATACACAGCGGTCTATGTCTCCACGTGCAAACGTCAACCAAAAAGCCACTCTATAGCCACAAATAATGCTCAGAACAGCACCTAACTTCATCAACAGTACATATGGGGACCCAGCCATAGTGCTAGCCATCAAACATGTTTTTAGCTTTGCCTGATTTCTTTAGCAAAGAGACTAAACACAACTCTCCCACTCTCCTCCAGCAGCTGCTTGTTTGTGGGGGTTCACAGCTCAAGGAAGAACATTCATGATCATTACTTCATGGAAATGCAGAGTTCTTGTGTATCTTGTATGTGCACTGCAGATGCAGGAGTTCTTCTGCCTTAGTGTCTCAGTCTGATTGCATTTCTAATAATCTTACATGTTCCACTGCACTTGGTGATCAGCTTGGTGATTAGGGCTCCCCCACAAACAAGCGGCTGCTGGAGGAGAGTGGGTGAGTTGTGTTTGGTCCAATATGGCTTGGACCCTACATGTACTGTTGATGAAGTTAGGTGCTGTTCTGAGCATTATTTGTGGCTATAGAGTGGCTGTCTGGTTGAGGTTTGCATGTGGAGACATAGACCGCTGTGTATTGCTATTGTGCGGTTGTTACTAAAGTTGGTATAACTAGAGAAAAAAGCATTCAGCAACATTCATCTATCGAGGGGGTGTCTAACTCAGTCTTATGGTGTGTTTGACTATAACTTAAATTTATGCCAGAATATCCCTTTAACGTAGCTTTTTCCAATCCAGCACCAACAGCAAATCAACTTAATATTTTAAGGATTTCTGCGACACCTGCTCACCCATGGGGGTGTTTCATGCTCCCAGCTAATACTGTGACTCCATCGTGACCCTAAAGGGGCCTCTTCATATTGGTTTATACCCCTGCTGGAGTCAGCTGACGTTACTTAACTGGAAAAGAACCTGAGATCATTAAGATGATGTGAGGTGATAAGTCTTTCTTCTGTCATTGTTGATAATCTTCTTTAATATCCTGTTGTCAGTGAGGATTCATTGCCTGGTGTTGCAGTCGTAAAACTTCTGGCACCTTCTTCCTGTATGAGGAGCTGATCATCTGCTTATCAGGGATCATTACTCATGTTCAGACGTCAGTGACACCGCCTGATTCAAACTGGATAAATTAGACTATAGACACGTTTCACGTCACTAATTGGTGCATATTCATGACATCCAACTCTTTCATTTCTCTGCCCACTTTCACCCAAAAGGGAAGCAGAAATTGTTAGCATGATGAGTAAATCTGCTCTGGCTTTTATTTCTGACTTTTCAGGAAATCTTTGGTGCTCTATCGCCCAGAACAGCAATGCCAAATAGTTCTTTCTGGAACTTTTCTGTCCTTTCTTTCTTTCTGGGATTCGTTTAAAGGCGCTTGTTCTTTCACCAACGTCTGAAGTGTTCATAATCAACCTTCACGCAGAACATCCACACTTGCCTGAAGTTTTATTTCATCCCTCGCCATTCGGTCGGGAATACAGGCTGCAGTTCAACGTGACGACTTTATTTTTGCCCTTTTTTGTGTCCGATGGTGGAGGAGAGCTCTGACATGGGAAGTTCAGCTTCCTGTAATCCGCTTTTCCTTTGTGAGGAGGGTGACTTTCAAACTCACTATCACAATCTCTCCCCCTTAAACTCACCGAAAACAGAGAGAAAAAGAGAGAGAGAGAGAGACAGTACTGTCTGTGTCACCGTCTACCTCTTTGTTTCAGCCCTCCGTTTGTTTGGGGAATAATAATTCTCTCTGTTTTGTTCTTAAATCATCCTTCATTATCCTCTGTTGGTTTTTCTCATTTGCAGCCTGGTGTGCATAAACGCTCACGGAAATTAAAACTTTTTGGTTTGTGTCAGAGATTAGCGCAGAGTGGAGGTCAAACATAATGGCTTCCGTTTAACGAGAAAATAGATATGATTATTCTGCACTTGCTCTCTGCTCAACTTTTGTCCTCAATCTAAACGGAGTCGCTCCGACAGCTCTGCCCTCATTACACTGCAACAAAAGGGCCGCGGCTCGCTATTTGTCATCCTATATTTAACATCAGAACGAGACTCTGAAGGCGGAAAATAAGAAAGACTGAGACGTTTCATCACAGCTATTTACCCCCCTCTTCCTCTGCTTAGTGTAATATTTATACCAACAAAGGCTTCTGTTGGCTTCACATGAACAAATCAATGAATATTCAGCGTGTACTCAGAGATTAAGAAGGACTACTCCTGCTTTAGTGTGTGTGTCTGAACTCTGCCGCGTTATTGGTTCATCACCATCTGCAGATACTATAATCTAGCCGGGATTACAGCCGCAGCATCGACTCCAGGCCAACAAAAACACACAAGATCTCCCAAATCTACAGGAGGAGGAGCGGCTGGATTACTGGAGGAAAATGTGTCAACATGTCCGGATTTTGTCTTTATTTGTAGTTCAGCATATTGAGGTCGTGTTTCACGCTTTAACACGTTTTTAGGAAGTAATCACATGTGTTCATTTTATGCTCAGATTAACGCTGGAAATGTTGCATCACTCTGCTCTATCACTTTGTGAGGGAGACAGAATAACATGTTTTTACTTCGGAAACAACAATACAGACCACAAGAGGTTCAAATCTTACTGACTGTATTTTTCTGATTTCTATTAAAATTATCCCCTAATACTTACAACACTGTCAGAGTTGTGCAGTTAAATTAAGGTAAAAACAGAATTTGATGATTTGCAAATCATTTAAAGCCCATATTTGTTTTAAACGGTCGTAAGAGAAAAAGTTGCAACTGAAACTGAAAGATGTGATTGTTCTATGACAGTTATATTCATTGCAACATGTCATCCATCGTGTGTCGTCAGTCCTTCTTTTACTAACACTCAAAAATTGTGAACTCAGTAGACCAGTTTCTGGACTTCAAACGGTGAAATGTTGTCCCAGTCTTGCCTGATGTAGGATTTCAGCTCCTCAACAGTTCAGGCTCTCCTTTTTAGTATTTTCTGTGTCACGATGTTGCAAATGTTTTCCGTGGGTGACCATTAAGGACTGAAGACCACTTTCTCAGCAGGACTCTTCTACTACAGAGCCATGCTGTTGTAATCCCTGTTGTCAGAATGTGGTTTGTCATTGTCTCTGAAATCTGAAGGTCTTCCCTGACAAAGTCATTGCCTGTATGTCAGCAAATCCTGCTCCAAAACCTGTAGATATTGTTCAGCATTAATAGAGCCTTCACTGATGTGAAAGATACCCATGACGTGGACTCTTATGATCCTCAAACCATCAGGGACGCTGGATTTGAACCAAGCTGGGTGATCTCTCATCCTTTTTAGAGCAAAGGATGTGGTGTCCATGATTTCCACAGGACAGTTTTCCTCATTCCCCTCAGTCCATCTTAAATGAGCTCAGATTCAGAGAAGTCTCTGATGTTTCTGGATCATGTTTCTATGTTTTAGTTCATTTTATTTGTCACATCAGTTTATTATGTTTCAGAACTACAACTGAGGTGAGTCGACTGAATTTTACTCAGTGCTGTTATATGATTAAAACTGCCAATGATATGAACAGTTTTATTATGAGCCCCCCCCCCCCTTTTTTTTTTTTTCATTTTTTGTTGCAATGTAGACAAACTTTATACCACCCCTAGTAGCTACATCTCTTAAATCATGTTTGGATTTTTAACACTTGGGTTGTATCATCTCATTAAAGCTTACATGTCTGCATCTTTACTCTTGATTTAAAGAGGATTTTTTTCAGCATCTCAGCCCAGAGCTACCCTGAAAAATTCAGTGTTTTTACTCTACCTATAATATTGTCATAACATACCTAAACTGTTATAACTATCATGCAGACAGGACACTACATTGACTGTCATAACTTCAGTTGGCTGGTAAGAACAGGGCTAAACCGCTAGAATGAGGGCTCGATAAAATGTTTGGATGGATTAAAGATTTTGTGATTGCACATTTATAAAAAGGTTGATGTTCTAATACTCACTGTAGCACCACAATGACACACACCGCTACCTGTCACTTGGTGTGTGCGTGCTTGTGTGTGTACGTGTGTGTTTATCTGTTGTCGGGATAGGATCTCATGCAGTGAGTTCAGTCTAAAACCAGCTACAGGGAGAAGGTTGGGTGCTTTCTGAGGTATGATATGAGGCACTAGTGGAAACTAAATGTTAATGTGAAATGTTATTGTTCATTAAAGGTTATACCAAAACCTAATATTCAAATAAAATTGTGGTATTTCAAAAGATGTCAAAATGTACCAAATTTGTGAGTATGGTGCGCCTGTGTGGGAGTAAAATGTCCACTAGAGGAGGACCTAAGGGTAAAACCTTCACCATGAACGCAGCAGCACAAGGGAAATCTTTCAAAATAAAAGCACATTAGACCTTTCTTTTCACCATTTTTCAGTTTATTGTTGGCATATTGGTGTTTTTGTTTGTAATGTGTGAGAAAGTAATGTGTGTTTATACTGAATCCCACCGCAGCAAGTACAACAGCGTTCTGCTTTTGGCCTCTGTGTTTCGGTTCTTTGTAAATGGACCCTTAAAATTTTGGTTACAATGACACAAAATTACCATGAGTTTCAACCTATGCCATCACCTCCTCTTTATTTATAGACATGAGCTTCATTGATACCCCAAAGTGGAAAAAAATATGAAATAATGTCAAAGAATGAGAAGTGGAGTTTTACATCTGCTAAGGCTGTTCTGTCTCTCTTTGTGTCTCTCTGGGAAAAACAAAAAGCCTCCTTCAGGGGCGCCTAAACCTCTGAATCAGAAAGTGGAACCCAGCAAACAGATAGCACGCCTTCAGAACAAGTAGATATAGATAGATTTATATATAGAGTTTTATATTCAGCTTGAAACTTTTCAAAAGAGTACAGTAAACACTTCTCACACATGATAGAAACTACTCGACGCCTCAGAATCAGAAAACAGCGGTCCGGACGGCGTCCAAGCCCACGATAAGGTGAACAAACAAAACCCAAGTAAAAAAAAAAGAACAATTCAAAGAATCAAAACATAAATAAAAAAATATCCTGCCCACAATCTTTTCTTACAAAGTTTGAAGTAGATTGAATAGAGACACCTGACCACACGAACAGAATAGAAAAATCTAAAACAGTGGTATTGCATTTTCAAATGCACAAAGATTCTCCTGTACAATTTGGCGTCTCTCTGCGAGTACAAACGCCTAAAGGGCTCAGTGGCGGTTTCTTCGAGTGGCTCTCGTATCAGTCAGTCTTTTTTCAGCACACATAAGCAGTCCTGGTCTGGTTTAATTCTCCATCAGTGCTGTAAACAGGCACACACAGATTGGAAAAGCTCTGTAGGATCAGAGTCCAGTTTATCTCTCCGTCATCAGAGTCCTTCCTCCTCCTCCTCCTCGTCCTCTTTAGGGTTCTCAGTCCCGCTGAGACAAAAGGGTCCTCACAGTAAGGCTATCCATCAACCTGCCTTTACCCCCCACCTTAGAAGAAGTTCGGCTAGCTCCTGATCCAGACGGTGGGGGTGTCTCCAAAAGCCTGGCAGTGCTCCAAGGAAGTCCAGGATGGAGGGATCTCAAACTTCCTTAACTCATGTGAAGTCGTGTGTTTGAAACTGTAGTTTTTCCTGGGTGAGGAGGGGGGGAGTGGGGGTGGGGGGCGGGGATGTACGCATTTAAAATTTGATGCTTTTCTTTTTTATAGCCTTGGTCGTCGAGGAGTGATTGTGCAAAGTCACGCGGTCTCTGGTATGTCCACGCGAAAGGAGCTAGCAAACCCTTTTCCTCGCTGCAAGAAGCAGAAAAACAAGATTGGTTAGACAGGGGTGTGTGTTTATCAGTGTGTGTGTGTGTGTGTGTGTGTGTGTGTGTGTGTGTGTGTGTGTGTGTGTGTGTGTCTAAGTGTGGAGCAATGACAGAAATGACAAGAAAACAACTGACACAAAGGGAAATCCAATGGTTTAAAACCTGCGTTTTTACATATTTTGAGCTGATATGAGATTCTGAGTATCTTCAGTAGATGAGCTTATCCTACAGCCGCTAAACTGTACACACTGCTGCTCTTAGTTTGGGTGTTTTACAGCCTGACTTTGGTGTTTTTAAATGATGCTTCCATGCAAAATAACTTTCATGGGGCACACAGTGATCCACCTGTGAATGATGTACCCACCTCATTGTATACTTTATAACTCAATTGATGAAATCAGTAATTTTACTTCACAGACTGCAGGAGTTGCTGGTCTACTGCCGCCTTAACTGGTAAGTTTGGGTGTTTTATAGCCAGACTTCAATTTGTTATATCAAACATGTAGGGTACAGCCACTGTTTTTATGAATGGAGTCACATTGGCTGTAAGGAGAGGGATGTAAAATCCTCTCCCTTTGTAACAAATATATATGAAGACCTTTCCCTAATATTGTCAGACTCTTCAAAGTAACAATCTAACTGTGTCGAGGACACAAACAGGAACATTTCGCCCTCAAAACCTGATTTTTTAAACAGCTGTTTACTGCTAAAACCTTCAGGAAACACTCAGAAACTTTCTGTATCCTTTAATTATTCATATTCTAATTTATGTAAAAATATGTCTGAGGTTTAAAAACATGGATTTCCCTCAAAGTGTCCTCGTTCACACAGAGTTTAAGGGTTCAATCATGACAAAGCAAGGACAGGAAGTCTCACGTCTCGTCTCAATTCACTAGTGTGAAATGGCTCATGGGTAATGTGTTTGTGACCATGTATTTGGGTTGGGGGGTTATGGGAAAAGTGGCCTTGGGGGGGAGTTGGTTATTATTTGGTGGCCAATTTATCTGGTGGCACAACAAAGGGGGAGATTTAATGGTCTGGCTCCGCCCACCTCTTGTCCCCCCCCCCCCTCGCCACCGTGTCGTCTGATGACGGTAATCATTTGGCTCTGGCTTTCCTCTGCTCCTCCGCCTCCCCCTCTCTGCACCCCACCCTGACCCGACCCCAGGACAGATCCAAGCCCGGACCTCCCCCTATCCCCCCTCCCTCAGGGGACAAAGAGGCTCTGTGTATCAGTGACTTGATCAGATTAGGGAGCTTCAGCCGCTTGGTATCATCATTCTATCCCTTCCACCTCCCCCCTCCTCTCTGACTGTTGTTCCTTCAGTGCCATTACCCCCTCCCTCCCCTGCTGCCTCCCCCGCTCTCATTAGCATAAGGGCCACAGTGATCTACTTTGCAGGAGGAATGAGTGGTTGTTCGTGGGAAACGCTGAGATATCGGGAGCTCTTCACATCGAGTGCTGCATCACAAGAGCATAATCAGCACATCCATGGAAACTGCACACAGACACACACACACACACACACACACACATCCACACACACACACACACACACACACACACACACACATCCACACACACACACACACACACACACACACACAGAGGACTTCACACTGAAAGCAGACGAGTGGCATACTTGCTGCTTAATGTTTGGCTGTTTCATTTTTACCTCAAGTTTCTAACAGGTGTTGAATAAAACAGCAGATCTACAGCCTGAAATCATTTTTATATGTTCACATTTCGGGGATCTGTGTGTTTTGTTCAACACTTCGGGATATCTTCTGTTTTGTAGTGTCAATGTCACATGTTCTCTTCTTTTTATCTACACATTTTATGTGACTAAAGGTTTATACATGTCAAAATATTAGCATCTAAAAATACCAGACAAAAGTTTTACTCCAAACTTTTTCATTAAAGGTGTAGTGTGCAGTTTTTAGCTAAGATGATATGAAAAACAGACTAGAGGCTGTCTTTGTGCTTTTAGTTCTTATCTTTATTTTTCTATTGTTATCTCAGCTCTTTATATCTGATCTGTTTTTTTGTTGCTTTAACTTATTTTTATCTCTTTTCCTTTACTGTTGTAATCACGTTATTATTTCATTGCCATTGGCGTGCTTAGTCTCTACTTCTTTTGTTTCTTTTTATATAAATGTCACACTCTGTTTGGTTTGTATGAAAAGTGCCGTATAAACTAAGCTTGATTAAACAATATCTTTAAGTAAGCTGGCTGAACAAAGCCTAATTCTCCAGGTGGATCTATCATATCCCATAAAGCTGGTTATGAACTTTATGATAACTCAGACTTTCTGCTGCAGGCTCAAAGTATAGGATACTGAATATGGTGTTCCTCAGGGGAGTATAGTAGGCCCTGCTCTCTTTTCTCAGTACATTCTCCTTTTGCAGCACCAGAGTTTGCTTAAAAACTACCTGAAACTCCACTTTTATGTTCTGAACCAGAGTTCCTTTGGTCCTTGACACCACTTCGACCAAACCAGACTCTTTTGGGAAAATTAAACAGGATATCCAGGGATTTATTTTATTTCCTCATCTCTCTTCATTTAACCATTTTTATAAACTGTGATTTTAAGTTTTTTTGTTTTTCTTAAACTCTTTATTGGCTGAATTTGAATAAAATCATTCAGTGTTTAGGTTTCTGTTGTATCACCCCTCCTTTTCACTCTCTTTCTGTTCATTATCACTAAATACAGCAAAATTATTATTTCTGCCCTCCTCTTGGTTCCTGACTTTCTTCTGCAGCTTCACATTTTTCTCATTATGATCTTTTTTTTTTCAAATTATTTCTAAATGAATCCAACATGTTCTCTTAATGTGAAACTCATTTCATGATGTTGACTCATGACTCCAATATCACAACTTAAACTCCCACAACTCATTTATTTTTAATCTTTTAATTTCATTCCTCTGTTTTCTTATCGCATCCTGATCTGGATGAAAAAACACGACTCCTTTGACTGCAAAGAAAAATGGAACAAACTAAGGAGAGTTAGAAGCTTCATTTATCAGGGATGAGGTTTATTTTGGTCTTAAAAAAAACAATAATCTCCCCAAACATATTATGCATCGAACTTTGCTGAAACTGTCTCTTTCTTATTTTGGTGAGGATGAATGTTGGATTGAGCTGCAGAGTCTGGAAAGAAGCTAAATAAATAAACAGCGAGCCCATTTCGGTCCACCTTAAAAAGATTTGTTTTATTGCTTGTAATCTGCACATCATTATTTCTGTTGTTTTGTTTTTGTGACTCATCTAAAAGTCCCTGCAGCTGAAACTTCATGATTAAATTAAGAAAGTTAAACTTGTTTTCACTGTTTGCAGATGTCTGCTTCTCACATCAAGAGAATGGAGGGAGGCTCAGTGCTAGTTCAGGCAGGCGGATCATCCAGCTGCTCCGTTAACACACTGTCATGATATCCAACACACTACTCCACCACGTGACAACATTTCCTCACAATCTGTAAATTTCCACTCACCCCTCTACTCTGTCAGGGGGTGTGCAGACATCACTATCTGTATTTAGAAAAACAGACGTTTATTTTTTTATGGTTACCAAAAAATATGACACCAGTTCTAACCTGATTACATATGGATATTATTTAAAAGAAGCTGTGTTAATTCTGTTGTTGATTTTACTTCAGCTTGTTGCTGTCTATGAAAATAACCACAGGTGTGAAGTTGAAATGTAATGAAAAATGCTTTATGATAGTTTTACATTTTTACAGGATGAAAGTTGATGGAGATACAAGGTCCAACCAGCAGCCATGTCAGGATTTTATCTGCCGGTGTCTCCCTACAGAATCCTTTACCTCGAGTTATTTTAAAAACGGAGATATTAACCATCGTTGGCATCTTTTATTTAGATGCAAACAGTGAATCGCCCCTAAAAACGATGCTTTTTAAAGACTCCAGCCAGAGTGGAGATTTTGGAAATCTCCATTTGCATGTTTGCATGTAAACGGAGGAACATGGAGATTCGGGTAGCCGACGGCAGATTGTGCGCCAGAAACTGGGTGAAATGCGATGTTGTTTACAATCTACAGTCTATGTTTACAATCTATGAGGATCATGGATGCATGCAGAATAGCAGTCGCAATTATGCTAGCGCAGTCCCTTTGTATTTGTTTGCATTTGCATCTTCTCCAAAAGAAGGAAGTGACGTTGTTGTTGCTGCTATGCGGGATTCTTATTGGCTAACGTGGACTTGAGCTTCCCGCTACACTGCCACCTACAGGTTTTGCATGCTCTTGATGGCATATATAAAGCAGTTAGCGTAATCTACAACTTTACAACTTCAACACTTCGAAATGTCCATTTATGAAAATAGCTGGGCACGTGTAAACATAGTCTAAATTTCTCTCAGGTGGGGGAAATTACATGTACAGTTAAAAAAAAACAAGGATTGAAAGCTTTCACTAACAAACGCCTCCTTCACCATTAAAAGACACATTTATACCACCAGTATGCAGTCTGCTGCCTGCCAGTAGAGGGACCAAGTCCACATCATGTTCAAAGTAACTTCAATGATGTGGACTACTATCATTATTTTTAACAGTTGCAACTCTGCTTCTCTAAAATTTGTGTTGTCATCAGCTAAAAACTATTCAATGAACAACTTAACAGTTGACCATTTCCTATTGAATCTGTTTGTAGACGCACCCTTAATTAAGCAACTTTTGACAAGGGCTTTTTCACTATAATCGGGACAAAATGACAGCTCTATCTTGGTGTAGGTTGTTGAGGTTTGACTGAAATGAAGCCACAGCCTCATGGATGAGTTCAGCAGGGAGGAGCAGAGGATGATGATGGAGCTGCAGGGTGTCAGGAAGTGCACGCTGCTTCACTGCAGTGCACACACACAAAAAAAAAAAAAACTGATTTTCAATCTCTGGATAATTACCAGAATATTCAGATATAAAAATGATCCATATCTGTGTCATTATCGCTGCCTCTCCAAATTCATCTCATCCTTAGATCTTTCACTACTGCGGTCCGCAACTCCTCCCAGCATCCACATGCAGGCTCCAGAATATAATCTTCTCCCTCCTCCCACTTTCAGGATGTAAAATAGACCGATGAGGAGTGATGGGGTCAGAGCCTGCATGCTGAACACAAACATTCGCAGCTGCTGAAATAAACATTTCATGTCACTACAAAGGTGTGAATATGCTGAAGATGAGTTTCCCTCTTCCTCCCGAGTCTTTGGTCTCATCATTAAATCTCCACATTTCACTCTGTGTCACCTTTAACCTGACTCTCTGCTCACACTGTGCATCAACAACATCTCTAATAGCCCATATTTTCTCTCTGATTCAAACAGCAGGTTGCTGCTCAGCTTCACGTTTTGATGGAGGATAAAAAATAAAAAAAAACAGAAAATCAAATGAATAAAACATTAATTAAAAACAGAGTTTTTCCTGCTGTTTCCAGCAGCACGCTACGGTTGGAGATGCGGCGCTCGGGAAGCGGCTCCGCTCTGACAGTTTGGTAATTCAGCTCGCTGTGTGGATGATGAGAGAGGGGGCCTCTCCAGGCGCTGCTCCACTAAATTATAATTAAGCATTATCACTAAATTGCAGTGATTGAGGATGTATCTCTTTGTGGCCTTTGAATGAGAGCTCAGAAACAGCCGCTCCTTGGGAAAACCATCTTTTTCTCTCCTTTTTTCCCTCCTCAATTATCCTAAACTGTATTTTATCCTCTGCTCCAACACAGTGACGTTGGATGAGAATTAAAGCTCGCCGCCTGCCGCCCTTCTTCTTCACTGGTTTAAAAAAGACGATCATTATGTTACAGCAGCCATTTTCACACAATGAGGCAGAGCAGCTTTACAGCCAACATCTCCACCCACATGGAGGAAACCTTACAGGGCTCTGCGGCGGCTTACCCAGTGTTTCATTTTGAGGCTGATCATGGAGGTTTCTGTGTGTGAGAGTGTGAGTGTGTGTGTCTCTGTGAATTGAAACGGGTGAGATGAGGAAAGACAAAATCACACAGGGAGAGGCGATGATGGAGATGTCTGAGAAAGAGGGAAGAGTTAGTCTAACACTCTGAGAGGAATTTCACACTCTTTTCTTTCCTTTCGTTGGTAGTTGGAGGGAATTAAATTTGGGTTAATTTGAGTCTCTTTGTCGAATCCAAACAGGATACTCACTGAAATAAGCGGGGTTTAAAGGTGCTCTGGAACTAGGCAGAAATGTCTCCAACTCTTTCCTCTCTATGGAGCCCTGCTGCTGGCTGAGGCTGGGGTGGTGATGATTTTTGAGGTGGTGGTGGTTTTGGTGGTTTTGGTGGAGGTGACTGAGAGGCGTCTCTTTGCCAAACGTGGAGAACGACTTATCAGCCGTCTGCTCGGGGCTTTCAAATACCTCTGTGTCCGGGACTGAGTCCATGCCGGGCACGTGGAGGTTGCTGCGGTAGTCCGGGCCCTGGCGCCCGTCAGAGGGCACGAAGCTCGGCATCCAGCAGCGATCCGAGTGGCCCAGAGCTTTACACTCCTCTGTGCAGTTAGAGAAGAGGTCGGCACCTGCAAGAGGAAGAGGAGGAGGAGGGACATGAGGAAGGTGATTGACCCTTTGGAAACTAAAAAACAATCATAGCTTTAACATGCTCCTGTAAAAATAAAACTCTGATAACCATCTAAAGTTCAAACCTCTCTAGTAAATGAAATATTTACTTAAGTGGGTGTAATCTGGCTGCAAACACTTTACCTGCACAATCCTGAATTTAATCCAAATTATAAACAATTTGAGCATAATTCACAATAACATGCAGACTGTGTGGATTTGATGCATTTGATAACACTCCAAGAAATGACTTCAAAACATTCAAAAACAACATGCACACTGTTTCAGAATGACAATTAAAGCTATTTCAACTCTGCAGCATCAAATCTGCATAAAAATAAGAATTACTGAAAAACAAACAACTCAACCCAACAACCGGGATTTCCCCAACAAACTGTTGCCACAAAAGCAGGAGATTTAAACCTTAAATAGAGTATTTTGTCAGAGTGTTTCTGCACTTTCTCTTTATTGAATCTCTTACAGATATTTAATTACACACTATCTCCTTTGGCACTAAACTCCATCTGGTTTTTATCTGTTTGAGACATTTTAAACTTGTATTAAAGCCACTAGAGAACATTTTACCTGCTGCATCGCACTTTAATTAATGCATTTAGGACATTTTTTAAAACATGATATAAGGCTGAGTTACCATCATCTGTTAAATTGATAACACACGTTTTTGTTCCCTTTTGAATAACACCATCCTGAATCTTAAACAGATCTCGTCTAGTGTTAAATACAAATACCGTTCTGGTTTCTCAAAAGACAGCGCATTGAGCATAAATGTTGTCATTTCATCTGTGATGCAGATAAAACTTTTATTGACTTTGCCATCTGCTCATAAAATGAGAATATCTGAGTAAAAAAGAAAATAACCGCCTAACTCGTCTTAACACAATTCAGCCGACCTTGGCATCAAATACATGTGGAACTTTGTAACAACACAAAACCAGATTTTATGAGTCATTAGCGGATGTTTTTCCACACTATTTTTATCTTAAGGAGCTCAGATTCGGAAAACGTCAACCATTTACAGACACTCAAAGAAATAACGTCACCATTAGCAGAAACAGCACTTTCACCATCAGAGTCATTTCTCCAGCAGAGTACAAATGCACATAGCTTGATCTGACACGTTATTCTGAGCCTCCAAAAACAATATGTATTTATGCAACCTGCACTTTGATTTCTTTAAGTCTGAGCTTTATGTTTCAGGGCTGTGAACATCAAACCACCCCCAGTATGATAAAAGAAAAAGAAAAATCCTCCAAACAGACACACACACACACACACACACACACAGAGTCCTGCTAGGTGGTTTTCATAAAAGCTTATCTCAACACAAAAAGGCGACAATGCCTGAGTAACCTGGGTTTAGGTTACATAACTCTCTACAAACTCAGGAGGAGCTGATCTATTACTGACTGGGCTGGTTAGTTAAGGAGTTTCTTCGCTGGAATTTCTTATTATAAAATATAAGTGCGGATACAACTTTTTTTATGAAGCACAAAATCACCAAACTGTGAATGATGAGCTGGTCAAATTTTGCAGTATAAATAAAAATGAGAATATCTGAAAAATTAAAGACTGAACTCCACAATCACTTCAATCGGATTTCTCCAACAAAATATTCCCCCAATGCAGGAGATGAAATGGTCCATGGGTCTCAGTGCTGACCATAATAGCTGTGATACATTTTTCCTTGATATAAATATAATTAACGTAATAAAAACTCCACTGATTTAAATCTGTAATTGCACCACCCAACCACTGATGAGAGAAGGGGGCGCTACTGCATCCTGAATACTGACAGCATTTGCTTTACCGTTTTTTTCATAAATTGTAAAATCAAAATCAGCATGCCTGAGTTTAACAATTAATAAAGATATAACCATGCTTAAGCACCATCATTTAATCATGAAAAACACATAAATCAAGCAGCATTCATTTATAATAGACATTAATAGTTTATCATCTAACTCAGACTGCGAAACATATATACAGTCCATTACTTTAATTATGAATAGGTCATAAACAAACCCATTATCATCTGAGCATGAACCAAATAAAGAAAATAGGGAATTTTGACAAACATAATGTTTTGGACATTTATCTTGACAGAATAGATGGTGGTTCTGCACTTATACTTTCATTAAATCTCTGACAAACGTTTCGTTTTCACCCTCTCACCCTCTGTTTTTAGCACTCAGCTCTTCTTTTCAGTTTATTGATACTTCAAATTTGATGAAGCCATTGGAGAACGTTTTACCTGCTGCCTTTACCATTTGATGGCAGTGAATGCATTCAGAGCAAAGGATTAACATTAAAAACATCTCCTTCAACTATTTATTAGGACTCGTTCAGCTCCAAGGCTGTCTCTCTCCAAAGACGAATCACTTCAGCTGATGACTGAGGTGCTGTTATTCGAACACAACAAAGAAAAACTGCACTACAATACAGAAAATAGCACAAAAATACAAGTGTTAACACCAAGATTTAGAGCCTTGAAAACTGAGCCACTGTGGAGTTTACTGACACGTCCTCTTTTATTCTGTGATGCTGATGTTAATGAGTGTCTTTAATCATACTTTGGAGGGTTCTTGGAGGAAGAGGAAGATGAAGACGGAGTAATTCAGTTTCAAACTTGATAAAGAATTTCAGTTTGCCATGCTAATCAAGTCAACACAAGGAACACACACTCATCCTGGGACAAATACACACAAACACACAACAAGAGAGAGAGAGAGAAAGTGAAGAAAAGTTAATTTTATCTCAAATAAACCTCAGAGGGATTTGAGGATCTATGACACAAATGACTGAAAACTGAAACTCTGAAACCAACTTTAGGAAGTCAAAAAGAAAACTCTCTCTGCAGGACCAGAAAATAAGACACAATCACTGCAGATACAAGACAACTACAACAAACACAAACATAGTGTGATGAATAAACCTTAAAAGGAAGAATTATTTATTCAAAATTCACAAAATCAACTTGGATGACAGAATATTTATTTTCACTTTCACACAAAATGCTCTCATTCCCCAGAGGCTGGAAAATCACTGAGTTGTTGTAAAATTCAGAATCAAACACCTGCACGATAAACTGCAAATATCTGCAGAACATTTTTCTGAAGCAGAAAATTGTTTTCCCACACTGTTCAAACAAATTCAGAGCATAATGAGGACAAAAGTTTGTGCATTTCTGCAAAAAACAAGCTATAATGGATAATCTCTAGGGGTAAATTAACAAGTAAATGAAATAAAACTGATTTCAAACACCGATGATTTCTGTGTGAAGCCTCTCAGGTGTCTGATTTCAGTCTAAATGCTGCAGAGAAACGACAGTGAGAACCAAAGCCCTCACAAGACTACATACAACCACTGATTTAAATACTCAAGTTTTTTTTTTTTCATTATTTTTTACAGACTGTGACGTGCACATTTCTTTTGTTTTATTCATTTCATCTTCTCAGCAGGGTAAATAAAATCCTTAAGCACTTAAAGCCAGATATCCCTGTATCTAACCATGCACAAATCCCAGATTCAGGTTTGACTGTTAGCCTGATTGTTGGACGCTGAGCTCATTAGGCCGAGTTTAAGCCTAAAGCCAAATTGTGTTTTCATTTGTCCATATGTTTCTTCTGCAGATTCTGTGTATGCATGTATTTAGCAGCCCAAATCTGCTTTTCTGTGTGTATGTGGCCTTTAGACGTAAGTGAGAAGTAAGTAAAAAAAAAAAAAAAAAAGAAAAGAAAATATGATACAGTTCGATGTGGCTACAGAGAAGAGGCTTATAGAAACATAATTACAAAAATTAAGGGTTATTTATGAGAAACAGTCAGCTGAGGTGTTTGCAAAAGTTTTAGAAGTGAGAAAACAGTGTGTTTCGCTTTCAGCCAGGGTGTAACACCTCTGTGAAAAACAATTAAGTGGTGAGGATTTTTGTTCCACTGTTGTCATTTAGACATATGAACTGTAAAAGAGGGGAAGTGTGTAACCCCAAACAGTCCATCTGCTGTGTTTAAAGACCCACTCTGATGAAAATCCCGTTTTTCTTGTTTACATGTGCATGTGGCATTTTTTGATGCTACAGGACATATCATGATAAAAATAAGTGCGAAATTGCATTTCTGAGTATTTCTAAATTCAAATTGCTGTGAATCTCTGGCAGACCCAAATGGCAGGTTCAAAAACGGTCAGATTTCCTATGTAGTAAATCCAAGCTCTGCACCAGCAATGTTAGGCTACAAGCTCTCGTGAAGACAAGTGTGCAGAGCAGCAATGACTCAGAGGAAAATTGCTAATGATCTACTAAAGCTCTGTAGGAGAAAAGCCCTTGAAAATGAGGATTTGCAAATTTTGGTAAAAACTTTATAATTACAATTTAACCACTGAGAACACTTTGGGTTCTATTTTCATGCCTTGCCGGCGACGCGGCACATGCACGGCGTAAGTCAGGTCCGCTGCGCTGACAAAGCGTTCCCAAGCACAATTTGGTAATTTGGTGAGTGGTGCAGCCCAGCGTAAGTATCCCCCCTCCCTAACTCAGCTCCTCCCAGCGACGTAAGTCGTAGGGAGGGAGGAGAGAGGGCGTGGAGTGGGTTTAACACAGCCGTGACCTGTTTTCAATAATCATATAAGCTCCTCTCCTCGCCTTTAAATCTGAAATACCAAACTGGCTATACGCCGGGCTCCGCCAGATGAAAATACCACTGCACGGGGTCCGCCACCCTCCGCTCCATCCCCGGCGGACACGAAAATAGAGCCCTTTAAGTAGTAAAAATAACTCTTTCTGTTTCACTTTGCTTTTTGTGCCTCTGTTTTCTCATGCTTGTGGTTTGCATCTACTCTGTGAGGAACGTTCTACTTCATAAATGTACTGTAAAAAAAGAATATTAAAGTCTCTGAAGATTTAAAAATAAAGTTTCATCCATCTTCTTTAACATCCTCGTTCAAGATAGAAAGTGTTGATGCATGCTTTCTGGATTGTTCTTGCGCATCTGCTGATTCAGAGACATCCAAGAAATGTTTCCAGGGTGAGAAAACGTCTTCACCACTGAGTTTCAAACTGATTAGAAACTAAAAATTATCAGCTTTCATTAACAGAAAGTGTGAAAACGCATGTCAGAAGTAAACACTCTGCTGTCAGGATCAGTGAGTGTTATTTTGGACCATTAAATAACTGAAATGATAAAATACTGCTGCAAGAGAGTTATGCACAAAGTAAACTTTGAGTTTAAAATCTAGAGAAGAAACAGCAAAAACTCTACATGGTGAGTAAAGATTAAAAAAATAAACCAGAATGTTACAAATACTGCAGTCATTGTTTTGCGAAAATGTTGAACTTTTAGATTTGGATATTTTCCATGTTAAGTCTATGTACACTTAATTCCCGGAGAACTCATTTATATTCAGTTGAAGTGTTTGATTGCAGAAGATAAACTCCCTCCGGCTGCTCAAACTCCCCAAACTCTCCAAAAACACAGAATCTGAGACTTTCATGGAGGTCATGGCCCGACAACATACTTTGAATCCTCCTGCAGAGATCGCCCTCAGACCACAACTTGACCTCAAAATCTTCAATCAGATGCAAAACAGCACAGGTCACTGACCGCCTGTGTGTGTGTGTGTGTGTGTGTGTGTGTGTGTGTGTGTGTGTGTGTGTGTGTGTGTGTGTGTGTGTGTGTGTGTGTGTGTGTGTGTGTGTGTGTGTGTGTGTGTGTGTGAGTGGTTGCTGCTGATGAGCGCATGCACCAACATGCATGTGTAACGATGAGCAGGCCAGGGTGGAGAAATAGGCAAAGTCTTCTTTTCAGCCTGGCATCAGATTAGCTAAACCACAAACTCAATGGTGTTTGATTACCCAGAATGCCCCTGTGCTGGCCCTCACTCTCACCCCTCTTTCATGAGACCTTTTGTCCTGCATAAAAGGCTGCAGGTAGAACCAGTCTGAGCGTGCTCACTTTCATGTGGGATAATCAGCCCTGCAGCATTTAAAGAATGTGAGAGTAAAACCTTCAGTCAAGGAGAGCTCCACTGTTAACTCCACCACTGCTTTACTGTAAACGTCACTGTTAGCACCACTGTGAACTAACATCGCAGTTAAGTTTTGTACATTTCATGGCATTTTCTGCAGTGAGCTGTCATATGTGTTTTTTTTTTAAATGAAAGAATGACCCGATCTCTCTCCTGACTTCTCCATCTATCATCTTGTTGCTTCTTATTGATACGACAGGTAAAATGTGACCACAGTTTATCAGATTATTAAAGTCTATCCAACTTGTGAAATGGAAAAAAAACACAGAAAAAAACATAACATTTACATGTTTCCCACCCTGGAAAAAAAAATAATGCCTGAAACTTGATTTATGCATAGTTTCAACGGCTCAAACTCCCTCTTCACTACATGGAGGGATATTTGACTGAGTATTTGTTGATGTTGTCTGTGAGTCTGAACTAATCATAAATCAGATTTTAGCAGAAGGGGGTGGGTGTATACCGGTTTGTAACTTCGCTCTCCGACAGGTAATGATAGGTTAACCAGAGGTGTAAGCTTATCGCTAACAGGTGTTGTGGTGAGTTTTGCTACCTTGTCAAATAATGCTTTGATAGCACATCAATAAAGACCTGATTCCACAAAGAAACCTGAGTTTAGTGAACATTAAATCGGTAAAGTTATTCCTGTCAGACTTTCATTACACTTCCTTGTTATTACCTGAGTAGATATTAATCCAGAATGCCTCACCTGAAAAGAACTGTTCCCTGCACACTTGTTACAGATTAATAAGAGGTTGTTCGCCAAAAGGAGTCAATTATTACATCCCGTCATTGTCCATCAGAGAGTTTATTTATTCTCATTTTTTGTTTGCTTACCTTTTACCTCATTGTCTACATTTAGTCATGAAAAATAAGTGTCAACGAAAATTCATCGTTTTTGTTGACAAAATGAACACTGATCCACCAAAACAAGCTCTCTGCCCTCTGTCTGACTCTGTGTTTACATGGGTGCCTGCATGTTGAAAGAACAGGGATATAAAAAGTGATAATATCAATATCAGCTGCTGTGATTAAACGTAAAAACGTATAAACACCAGGCCTAATAAAAACACTTGAACCTGAGTCAGACTGAAAACCCGTCCACTGTTAGCTCGGCTGTTAGCCGCTGAGCTCTGTAGGCCCAGTTTAAGCCTAAAGCCAAATTGTGTTTTCATTGGTCCATATGTTTTTTCTGCAGATCCTGTGTATGCATGTATTTGAAAGTCTAAATCAGCTTGTGTGTGTGTGTGTGTGTGTGTGTGTGTGTGTGTGTGTGTGTGTGTGTGTGTGTGTGTGTGTGTGTGTGTGTGTAAGTCTGAGTCTCGGCTACAATCTGAACTGTCCAGCTAGGCTATCTACTGCTAATCCCTCTGAATACAGACTGATTAGGCTAAGACTGCTGCCGTCCCAGTAAGCACTCTGTGTGCGTGTGAGTGTGTTTGTGTCTCTGCATGCGTGTGTGTGTGTGTGTGTGAGTGTGTGTGTATCGGTCAGCAAAGGGGGAATTTGCTTTGTTACAAAGCGGATTAATTTGGCTCGCCGTCACTAACAGCTTGGAAAAATGCCCAGACTCCTAACGAGAGGGTTTCTTATTAAATATTAACCAACATGCCATAAATACAACAGCACATTACACTTTAATAACACAGGGATAAACCAATCACTGCAAGGCATGATGGGAGAAGGAGGAGAGAGCATGCTGGGAGCTCAAACACACACACACACAAACACAGTGAGAGCACCTGGATGAGCTGCGCAAAGTGAGAGGAGGACACAGAGAGCTGCTGCCTTTACAAAATGGATGCTGAGTTAATTCTCAAAATGGGAACAAGAAATGTGGCATTTAGGTTAAGTCAGAATGATAAGACTCACACACACACACACACACACTCATGGAGACAGAGAGAGAAGCAGAGAGATGTGGAGAGTAATTTCAGCCACAAAGACAGATCAAGACATCCTGATATTTTTTGACATTTTGGTTAAATTAGAAGTTCTCCTGTCACATGAGAAGAGCCCCGTCCAATCAAAAGGTTAAAACATCTCAGCTATCACGCTGAACACACGCACACACACACACACACACACACACACACACAGGGAGCCTAAGCCGTGCTTTTAATGTGAATAGCTTCCTTTAACACCTTATCTCTCCAGCATGCCCGTGGACTCAAAGTATTTTCTCAGAGCAAACACACCGGCCAATTATGATGATGACACGTACACACTCAAGAGTTAGTGTGTGTGTGTGTGTGTGTGTGTGTGTGTGTGTGTGTGTGTGTGTGATGTTGACCCTCGTTACTTAAACTTCTCGTCTTTAACATTCTGCTCGCTGCGGCGGGAATGCAAACTCTCCGTAATAACCTTCATTTGGTAATTGGTATGCAGAGGTCTAAAAAATGAATTACTGATCAGCGAGCTGTTACCACGGCGATAACGTGAACTGCAGGCCTGAGGAGGAGCTCTTTGGGTTGGGTGGGGTGAGTGGTTGTGAGTGTTTGAGGAGCGGATAAGCGCCCTGACTGGATCTCCTCAGAGTGTGTGACATTGTCTGTGTTGATAACATGGACTCTTCAGATGTAGCGCAGCTGAAATGGGGCCCTGAAGGGACTTTTGGGGCCTCTGCAGAGCTCCTTCAGGGTCCATCAGAAGAGGAGGAGCTCTTAAAATCCTCTGTGATTAAACAAAGAAACGAGTCCACCACATCACAGGATGAGCGGATGACCTTTAACTGTCTGTGGCTGCTCTGTCAAACTCTGAAACACAGATCCTCCATCTGAAGTGACAGAGAGGATTAAAGTGCACACAGAGGTGGATGTTCTTATGGAGGACTTCCTTCAGGGGGGTTAGAAAAGTAATTTAAGCTCTAATTAAAAACGATCACAAGGAGATAAAGGGCCAGATCCTACACTTGGCACAAAGATTTTTGCATGCTGCGCAAGTGTCATTATTAGTTCCCACCTGACATACTCATCAGTTTTTGCCCACAACTTGAAGATAGCATGCAAGCTTGCACCCACTTTAGCACCAACGGGTGTTTCTGACGTGTGGTAAGGCGCAAAGGTGACACTTTGCCATCCTAAGGAAGCAGAGATCATTTCCATCTTAGACCAATAAAAACATGCCAGAGCTTGTTCAAAGCATTAGCTGTATATACTATGGACAACTTGGTTCCACCTTACATCATTATACGAATTTGAAGCCAAATTGATTTTGGCATTTCCAGGATTTTCTCAACTTCCTGAAACCACCACTTGCGTAGTAGCATTGTACGTATTCGGAGTCACCGAAATAATTTTCTCCTCATCTCAAGTCATCCTGAAACTATTTTTTTGGCATGGAGCTGCGCTACGTACCTCAGAAGACAAGGACACCTTTACCTTCACCTTAGCCAACAACTACAGACCAAGACCATCTCTAAGCTCTCCATCATGTGCACTCTCTTAAAAACATACAGAAACACACCCAAACTCACACTCACACACAACTGAAGGATATTTCTTTACAGTCCTTAAACATAACTCTTGGTGTCACAGACCTTCATGCCCCAAGATATTAATAAGTACTGAACAGTATCTATTATGCAGGCAGTCTAGAATACAGCATAGTGATCCAGCAGCGATTATAGGTTTTAAAAATTTACAGCCTACCTTTCTTTGTTGTACAGAGCAGAGAGCAGAGAGGCCATTAGTCATCATTAGATCCTGTCTGATGCTGTTGGCACGTCCTGAATTTTTGATAAACAATGAAGCTACTCAGCTGTGCCTCATGCACGAACATACAAACGTGTTTATTTAGGAATGTCCCTGATTGTTTGTGCTGGTCATTAATCAATGCATGGACATAACTAAAACAGTTGGCTGGATGTGTTTTCTCTGATGTTAGGCTGCTTGAGTCGGGTCTTTTTAAAAAGAACGACTGATATCTGCTGTGTAAATAGTAACATCTGCCTGCAGTTGCACCTGGCTCTTGAAGGAAGGAAATTCCTCATGTGGAGTCTCGTTCAGTAACCAGCTGCTCAGAAACGTCTTCTTCATTACCTTTGGCCATGTTTGTTTGTTCTTCTGCTCTGTATGGGCTATGGCTGTGAGTCCGTCACTCACACTTACGTCATCAACATTTACCGTATTCATCATGAGATGGCAAATATTTATCACAGTGGATTTTTCTGACGATTTCAAGTGAATGATAATTTATGGCCCATCCCTAGTCTACAGCCCCTTTTTCTGCAAGTCACTCCCCACTCCCCCATTCTCTCCCAGTTCCCACTTCAAAATGAAAGCATGAAAGCCCCAAAATATTTTTAAAAAATGTAGAAAAGGTCTGACCCTATTATTTCTTATAGACAAAATCATAGTAAGATTTAAAAACTGTGGGAGACCACCAACAGTAAAAGATCCATAAATAAAGATTTGGGCTGAATAAAAAAAATCCAAAAAGTTAATGTGAGGTCATTTTATTATGAGATAGTAAATTAGGATTATTAGGATTTAAAAATAAAACACTGAGTTGAATAGGGAGGTAGAATAATTTACACAAGTTCAAGCAGTGTCCAAAATTACTAAAATGTGGTACATCTCAAAGGTTTGTTTGGCTCACAATACCACATAAAAATACTCTAACAGTTCCAACAGGAACTCCTTCGGGGGAGTGATAGAGTCCAGAGCCTCCTCATGAGGAATGCAGCTTCACATGCTCTGTTTTCAGACTGCAGTTAACTGCATTTTGTCGTATTTGTTTGTTAAAATTGTTCCTTAGACACGCATGCCAAAAAACTTGGTATCACAAGGATTTTTTGCAGAATCAGATCCTGTCATTTCATGTTTACTTCTCACCTTTTGAGAAACATTACAACTCCAATATTTAACTCAACAGCTGCAGAGAGAGCACCCACGAAATCAACAAATAGTCGCAGCTTTGTTTACCTGTTTTTCTATTTTTTTTCACCCATAAATCGTTGAAATACAACTCAGAGTATTTTGACATTTTCCTCAGCTCTTGCGTTATGTTTATTTCACAACTTTATGTCAAAAAGCTGCACAAGTTTTCGTCTTTATACCGCTAGATATCATATTTATGCATCTCTCATCTTTTTCACTAGAATACTGACATTATAGCACATCATCTCTGCTGCTACACACACAAAAAAACACACTTACGCTCACACAAACACGCCCACATCTGCAGTCTGCAGCGTCTAATGGCTCATAATGTGACAGATTTGTTCATGTGGCTCCTGCTTTTGACCTTTACTGGAAATCTTTCTCTCTTTTTCTCCAACTCTTGACTTCCCTCACCCCTCCCTCTCTCTCTCACACACACACACACACACACACACACACACACACACACGCACACGCACACACTGTCACTCTGCTGTAAAGACTGAAATAATCTTTCTACTGATCCAACCAACGGGGACTTTGCTCCACATTTTAGACCCAAAGTGATCCGCAGGGGCCCAAGTGGAGCAAAAACACTTCATGTTTTATAGAATTGCTGCAAAATCTTGAAAATTAATGTATCGGTGTGAGTTTTAATCCTGTTCACGTGTTGGTCACAGCTGATTTCTGACTCTTTGTGACTCTTGCAGCTCCTCTTTGATGAAGAAAGGAGCGAGCCGAGGGCCTAGAGCAGCAGAAAATGTTGGCAGAACGAAGCAGCCGCTAGCAGCAGAATAAAAGAGCAAAAATCTGTGAGAGAGCATGCAGGTATGTGTAGTCCACAAAAACACAACCTACAAACAAACCGCAGACCTACAAAGTGCACAAAGACACAAAAGACAAAGAGATGACAGAGCAGCAGTCAGAAACATGACTGATCAGAGCGTTTATCAGCCAGAGTTTATCTGTGACGCTAAACTCACTCAGATAGAAACCAACATGCTTCTCTGTATAACTCTGAGTACACACACACACACAGACACATGCACACAAAGCTAAAAGAGACGCTAACATTAAGAAATAGCAGCCGTAGTGAAGTGTGCACTCGCTGCTGAGAAACTCGCACACACACAAAGCCCCTGTCTCTTTGTTTTTCTGTCATTATGGGAACGCTAGGCTAAGCTAAGCTAAGCTGCGCTATCAATTATCCTGATCAAACAAAGACTTAATGCAGAGCTAATAATCTGGTTAGGGACTCTGATCTCTGCAGCAGAGTTACTGTAACCTGTCTGCTACAACAAGGGGGCTCAAAGTCAGCAACACCGGACACGCAGCACGCACACGCTCAGACGCACACTCCGACTGGGTATGAGAGTGTGCGAAATGCCAGCACACCAGAAATAGCACAAAAGCAGTCGGCTGTAAGATTCGAAATGTTCCAGGGAGGTGGAAAAGACAAAAGTGATGCAGCGGTGAACTTTAAACCTGTGCTCTGTGGATGAAGGTGTTTCTAAACTTTGAGCAGCAGACACTCTCAGTTTGATCAGACTGTAGTTGTCATTTTATACATTTAAAATCGTCATCTAACACACACAGGTATTTCTTTTTCAAACACACTTCACATATAAGCTGTTTTCCTCCGTGTGAAACACCCTGTCATCCCACCTCACAGGCATTGTCATCACTTCTTCCTCCTGTTACCTCAGTAACACAAACACTTTCTCCTGCGACTGTGGAAATACACCACCCCTGATTCCTGAAACACACTGAGCATATTTTGAAAAATTACCTTAACAGGTGAGTTTTCAATGCACTCTCATGCATATTTGAACTTCTTATAGATTGCTATGTAAGCACAGTGACTGATGGGTAAATCTTGCACATGAATTTTATTTACATTTTTGAATTAGCCTCTTTCCCCCTCCATGAGTTATATTTCTCTTCAACTGAGCCTCTCTCTCTCTCTCTCTGGGGTTTTCAAAGCTAACTTTATTGATTCAAGTTTCACAACTGTTTTCTTTCCAGGCTCATTTCTCACTCAGAACAATTAAACATACTGTCTAAGATCTCGTGGAAGGGGGTTGTTTCGGAGCTGCACTGCTCTCAGACTTTGATTCATCCCGTTAACAAAGCTATTCCTAAACTCTGACCCACTTATTTTCCTAATCTTTAAAAAAAAAAAACTGCCTTTGCTCTTTGAAAAAAGTGGTTTGTAATTCACAAAGTCTGGCCTGAGTTGTAGAGAAAAGCTTTTAGGTTTTCTGCATCGACTGCAAAATTATTGACCCTGAATATGTTTAAACTGCGCAGAAATCTACAGAGACTTCACATTATGAGTAAACTCGGCAACATTAAATGGTCTGCCGGTGCATTCATGGGTATTTTTGCTCACTGCGAGTGTTTTTCTTTTGAAAAGACCTTAAATACGGATTCAAAGGGAAAGTTTTTCACCCAAGATTTGTGGACATCACCTACACACTAACGCCATCTGCTTCTGTCACCAAATTCATCACACAGTTTCACATATATCAACAGGAAACGTCATGGCATCTCAGATATTTAGCAGCTGAAATGATAAAGTAAGTAAGCAGTGACGAAGATAATGATTCAGTCTCACTATTCAGCTTCTCTATCTTATATCAATGGATGACATTAGTATGCATGTATGTCTGTCAGAGTTGACTTCGATATCAAAGAATGAAAACCTCCCACAGAGGTGAGCATGATGAATCTGTGGAGCTGTCTCTGAGCTTATGAGTCTGTGCTGTCGGCTCGGTCTGTGTCTGTCTACTGAGCTTGCTGTGACCCATTCTGGTCCCCGACACTGACGGAGGGACGGAGGGAGGGGGCTGCACTTGGCATGATGGGCCCCCCTCACTGCTGCGTTTGAGCAGAAGTGATGACAGGCAGCAGAGAGGGAGAGAGCGGCTCTGAATGAAGACATAAAACCAGCATTCATAACTCAGCGGGCCCCTATTGTGAGGGCCGTGATGGTTCCTCCAGGACAGGGAGATTAGAAAAGCGAGGGTGGTGTGGAGGAATGTGGGGGAGGGTGCGGGGAGTAACTGCTTAAATGAATGCATTAATTAAATTAATGAACGAATGAATCGCCTGTTTTGTTTTCTACGACCACAACCTATTTGGTCTGCTTCCCAGCTCTCTGGAGCGAGCGCAGCCTCATTAAAACGCTCCTCACGTCTTGACAAGTGGTCTCCAGCTCCGAGTCACCGAGCTCCCGGAGAGAGCCGGAGCCTCCGCTCTACACAGAGACATATTTACACACAACAGCAACAGCAGCAGCAGCAGCAGCCGCAACAGCAAGGTTCGCTCTCAGCACGCCAACATCTACCATCTCGTGTCAGAGGAGACAGAGACAAATAGACAGAGACATGTTCCCATACAGGGCGAGCCATCCAGACCCTTTTATCTGCTCTCTGCTTTCATTATGAGGCTGAGCAGCAAATCAAAAAACCACAGAGTCACCGGAGAGAGAAAGCAGGATGTAAAAGTAGAGCAGCATCAGCACAAACACTGATTGTTGGACACACTGAGAGGCCTCAGGTGATTCCAGCAGTGATGGATGTTATTAAAAACCAGCTTTCATTTCCCAACAACAACCAGACACAACCGGGCATGAAAGATCCAGATCCCAGCTCCTGACACTCATGTGCATGCTAACCATCAGATCCTGCAGGAGAGGTAGGGAGCCGCTCCCTAAACCTGCAGCTTAACCTGTCACATCAACTTTCAGTGAAGGGGGAGCAGGTCAGCGCTTACCGGAGGAGTGGCCTCGGTTGGTGGCGTCGTGGTCGCTGTCTCCCTGCTCGCTGTCACCGTGGCCGCTGTCTTTGGAGCTGACCAAGTCGGCCTCCTGGAATGCCGAGCTGACAGGAAACAGTTCAGTCAAATTATACCATCATGTTATAGAGAGCACATTTCAATCTCATCCAGCACATTAATGAGGGTCACGCTCTCTGGGTTTACCTGTTGACACGTCTCGGCCGGTCCACCAGGTAGCTGAGCTCGGCTCGCTGGTGTTTGGTCTGAAAGAGAAGGAGATGCTGTCAGACTAAACCACAAAACACCCCAGAGAGAAAACACAGTACAGCTCCATGTTCATGTCAGCTGTCCATCACACATGTGAGCCATGATTGCTGAGTTTGGGAAGGTTTCTCTCCCCCACAGGAGGGGTGAGGGAGGGGGGAGAGTTTACAGACATGTTGCCAAGGTGCAGGATGAAGTAACAGCAGAGTCACACGTCTCTGTTGTGCTGCGACTCAGCAACATTGTGAGTGGGATGCTTAATGTGAACGCTCCCCTCCCCTCGGGACTGTCTGTCACACACACACACAGACACACGCTCACACACATGGATGCACAAACCCACAGCAACCAGCAGCCTCTGAGTCCCCGTACATCCATCCTTATTCTATTTTTTTTTTAACATTTCAAAGATGGAGCAGGACATAAACATGCAGTCTCTGCTGTCTGAGGCCAGACCCCCCATGAGAAGGAGCTGCAGGAAACATGTCAGCACAGCTCGCCTCATCATGTGTTTGCTTTAATGCCCCCCCCAACACTTCTGCAGACGGCTGCAGCATTTTGTAGTCGACCTGCATGCCACTGAGCAGAGGGAGAGGAGTTTAGGATGGAAATGGCTCCTGAATGAAAGTAGGGATGTTTTAAAACCAGATCAAACAGGCAGGCTTCAAGGGGGGGCCTAGTATGATCAGGACTGAGACATGCTGAGGGTCTCTGGATGGAGGGGGGGGATTACACTGTGGGTACGGGAGGGACTCTTACCTCGTTTGATAAAATGCTGCCGTTTGATATGATGTCAGGCTGCTGGTCTGTGTACCCTGTCACTATGGCCCCGCACGGGTTGTGATCCGTGTCTGTGCTCCTAGACGGACTACACGGCTTTAGGAACATGAGGTCGGTTTTGGCAGACTCTGGAGTCAGACATACCTGGTAGCAATAGTTCTGGTTTTGGTGGTGGGAGCCGAAGCTCCCTGACTCCTCCACAGGGACCTGAGCCGTGCCGGCCCCGCTGACGTTACCCGCGCTCTGCACCAGCATGATATCCGACTTGCTAAGCTTTTTCTTGCGGGCACGGCCCTGTCGGGAGCAGCAGGAGCTGCAGCTCAGACAGCAGTCGCTGGTCAGGCAGGTGTAAATGTTCAGCTTCTTATCCTTCTGGCAGCGCACGGCCAGCACAATCATCACCAGCAGGAAGATGAAGGAGACAGAGCCCAGGGCGATGATGAGGATCAAGGTCAGGTCCAGGGTCCCCTCCTTAGCCTTAGTGGTGCCCCCTCGCTCCCCGCTGCCCCGGCCCTCAGCTACGCTGTCCACCAGCACCACCAGCACACTGGCGCTGGACGACAAGGGCGGCTGGCCATGGTCTCTCACCTCTATCAGCAGGTCGTACAGCTGGTGGGGGTCTCGCTTTGCTGACACCCTCCTGGCGGTCCGCAATTCCCCAGTCCTCCAATCCATCCTGAACATCCCGTTCTCATTGCCCCTCTGGATGCTGTAGGACAGCCGGGCGTTCTCACCATCATCTGCATCCATGGCTACAATACGGGTTACCAGGTAGCCCGGCTCAGCTGAGCGGGGCAGGGGCTCCTTGGCTGTGCCATTTTTCCCCAGTGGGGCCAGCACCAGGGGGGCATTATCATTCTGGTCCACTATGATGACTTTAACGGTGGCGTTGGAGGAGAGCTCTGGGGTGCCCGAGTCTTTGGCCTGGACCATGAAAGTGAAATCCTTCAGCTGCTCGTAGTCAAAGGAGCGCAGGGCGTAAAGGTAGCCTGTCTCCTCATTAATGGACACATAGGTCTTGACAGACATGCCCTGGATGTCACACTCTAAGATGGAGTAGCTGATCAGGGAGTTGGGGCCCACGTCTGGATCCAGGGCCGTCACAGCGTGTATGTACGCCCCTGGCACATTATTCTCTGTCACATATACATCATAGATGGGCTGAGTGAAGGTGGGCGCATTGTCATTTTCATCAGAAACCTGGACCCGGATGGACTTACTGGTGGCCAGAGAGGGCGTCCCTTTATCCCGCGCGACCACCGTGACAGAGTAAGAGTCCGCCTGCTCCCGGTTTAACGGGCCGTCCGTCACGATGGTAAAATAATTCCTAAAGGAGGACTTTAATTTGAAAGGAACATCTCCGAGGATTTCCACGTGCACCTGACCGTTATCCTCCGCGTCCCGGTCCGTCACACTCAGCAGGGCGATGACAGTGCCCGGAGCTGCCTTCTCGCTCACGGACTCGGTGACGGTGCTGAAGGTGATCTCTGGCGCGTTGTCGTTCACGTCGCTGACTTTAACCAGCACTTTGCAGTGCGCGGGCACGGCGTTTGGACCCAGATCTTTGGCTTGGACGAAGATCTGGTACAGGCTGCTCTCCTCGAAGTCCACCTCCCCGCGCACCTCGATGCGTCCCGTGCGCGGGTCTATGCTGAAGAGATCCTTGACGCGGCTGGAAATGTGGTTACTGAAAGAATAAACGATCTCTCCATTTAATCCCTCATCCAGGTCGGTGGCGTTCAGCTGGATGACCAGCGTGCCCACCGGCGCGTTCTCAGAGAGGCTCACCGTGTAGACCGGCTGGTCAAACACCGGCACGTTATCGTTGGAGTCCAGCACTTTAACCACAAGCAGCGCTGTGCCGGTCCGGGGAGGCTGACCTCCGTCTACTGCGGTCAGCACGTACCTGTGCGCCGCCTGCTGTTCCCGGTCCAGCGGTTTCTCCAGAACCAGCTCCGCAAACTTGTTTCCGTCCGTTTGGGTCTGAACATCCAGGTAAAAGTAGTTGTTGGTGGTGATATCATACGTGCGTAAAGCGTTTGAGCCCACGTCTGGGTCGAACGCGCTCTCCAGAGGGAAGCGGGTTCCTGGTGTGGCACTCTCAGAGATCTCCACTGTGATGTCGGTCTCCGGAAAGCTGGGCGGGTTGTCGTTAATGTCCACCACCTCGATCTCTACCCGAAACAGCTCCAGTGGGTTCTCCAGGAACACCTCCATGTTAAGCTGACAGGTCGCGCTCTGTTTGCAGATCTGCTCCCGGTCGATCTTCTCGTTAACGAACAGGACTCCGTTCTCCAGGTTAACTTCTAGGTAAGGTGTCCGAGAACTGGGCACCACCTGAAAGCGGCGCGAGGCCAGCTTAGTGAGGTCCAGTCCCAGGTCCTCGGCGATATTCCCCACCAAGGTGCCATGGTCCGCCTCCTCCGGCACAGAGTAGCGAATCTGAGAGAGCACTCCATCCGTGATGCACAGCGCGAGCAAAAGCACAATCATCGCCGGAGAAGCAAGTGCACTTGGGTAAAAAAAAAAAGATGATAAATTATTATCCTTTGTTAACGCACAAAATGTCAATTTCCATCACCCATTTCAGTCAGCAGACAAAAGTCTCCAAAATGCGTAACAGTCTCCAAAAATGCGCAAGGCGTCCGGAGGAATGTGTCCCATTAAAAACAGAAATATTGTGAGATTTCAAAGGACTTTTGGTGAAGCTGATAGTTTTTTTTCCTCTTTTAGCTCCGCTCGGTGCTCAGATGCGTCCCGGAGAAGCTGCTGCGCACATTCCTCTGAAGCGCAGCGCTGCCGGAGTGAAGAAAGCAGTCCGGAGAAGAGTTGGAAAAACAGAAATCATAATCCATACAAGAGGAAAAAGAGCTGCATGCTCTGCTCCTGAGTGACATTCACTTTGCTCCTGGTAGTTTCAGCAGCTCAGTCTCCTCCCGGCGCCCTGCTCCCTTTCTGCGCTCTCCACCACTCCACTCCACACTGACGCTCCAAACTCAACTGTTTGCTTTTTTCCCGCATCGCGCCTCCTCCTCGCAGCCCCCGCGGCTGTAAATCACGCAGAGAGCTCTCCTCTGATTGGATAGTGAGGTTGCCTGTCACTGTCCGCTCGGCCCCTGTCTCTCTCACTGCCTCTCTGTGTCTCTCGCTCTCTTCCTCTGAGCCCGGACGCATGAGAGCGCAGGGAGAGAGAGCGGCAGGGATGGACGTTTATGACTTTAACCCCTCAGCTGCTGGACCCTAAACACACTTCCTACCTGTAAAATGCATTTTCCATTGATTAAAGTGAGGAGGTGGTGGGTGGGGGTCTTGTTGACTTGGTGCTGAAACTATCTGGGCCTCGGGACTGGCTTGGCGAACCGGGTTAATGCATGCAAATATTGTGATATGTATGCAGGAATCATTCGCCATTCAGACGCTGCTCTTAAGGCTGTGCGCTATAATTACAGCCAGCAGAAGTAACGTTATTAACTCTCCTGCAGACACACACTCTCAGAGACACACAGACGTGGACAAAAACACATCCGCGGACCGCATACGACCCCTAGCGGCAGAAAGGCGAACCAGGCTCAGATTTGCATTAAGACCTCCAAAAATATCCTAAATCCTAAAGATGTTTAACAGTCATTTTCGGCTGTTTGAATGAATGAGATGCGATTAGAAGTGTGCATTTGCCTTTTTACTGAGAGGTCATGTAAAGTTGAAGCTTTGAGATGGTTGGATGAACCCAATCAAGACTTTCCTGAAAGCTTTTCTTGTGACACAAAATTACTCCGAAAACAGACTTTTTTAGGAGACAGTGTGTACATGAGAATGTATTTTACTCTGACCACAAAATATTCCCTACACACACCTGCAGTCTCCTTTTGGATTTACTCCATTTAACCGTGAGGAGTAATATCACTTCTGTTTTATGACAGTAAACGTCTTACAATGATAATAATGATAACATTGATGGGTTGTGTAAAATTAAATGCAGAATTTCATTTCAGCTTCTCATTTTACATGATCGTTAATGCAGATCAAAGGACATTTCTCGTATCTTTCCAGTTCCATCTTTACAAAAGTGTTGTCTTTGTTGTGAAAGCTGCACTTTAAGTTTTTACCTAGTTGCACCCATCTGATTTCTGGTGCTTAAATATCTCTTAAAGAGGTGGTGTTGTGCTTTTTTTTTATGTTTCACAAATATAAATGTTGGAGTGGGATGTCAACAAAAAATGGGAGTAAAGTTTGAAACTGTGAGGTAAAGGTGTGTGAGAGTGATCCCAGGATGAGACTGCAGGCTTCATTCATTGGTGACCCAAACCTTCTTGTTCTAAACTCTCCCTGTCAGCCATGTTTTATGATTTATCTTCTGATAGAGTAGTTGACTGAATAACGATGAGTTTGCAGCATGGCAGCAATGAAGGAGGGTTCCAGATAGCTTTAAGGTGCCTAAAAGAGACAAAGGCTGGAATTAAGTGTTTCAGACAGAGGCTAAAAAGAGGGTTTTTAAAGGCATCAATATGAGACAACTGCATGTTTTGATTTGAATCATATAAGCTACAAACAAAGCTATCAGAGGGACAATATAAAAACCTCTATAAGTTTTCTTTTTAATCTATCTATTATACAAAAATTTAATCTTTCATGCAGGTCAGTCGCACGAAAGATAATGAAACATAATAATGAAAAACAAACACAAGGCTTAAAGATACACCTGAAACATTTTACCATATGACATTCATCACAACAAAGGTAAGACTCTTAAAAATGACAAATAGTCTTTTTTTTCTGTCATCTTAATGTTTCTCAGTGAGTTTTAATGGAGCTTAAACAGATGACTAGATGTGTACTTGTTTTAATGTTTTTTAACTCATCACCAGCATTTACGAGTTGCTCTGCTGCATGACTCAAAATTCAATTATAAAAACGCCAGAATTTAGAAGACACAGTTTTTACTTTGCTTCACTCCTAATTTCTTTTTTTCTGCTCTTGGATCTCGTCCTCCTCTTCTGATTTTGTTCCATCAAAGTGACTGACCTCGACCAGAGCAGAAAAGCTGTGTGTTCAGAGTGAGAGCGGCTCAGTGAAGAGGAGAGCAGATCAAGTGCTCCCCCTAGTGAACGGCTGCAGCACTGCATCTGCACAGAATGGTCTCACCTCCCCACTCAGACCCTGAGTGCTCAGTGGAGGTCAGGATGCATGTAGACCTACACATTGAGTAAAACGCACACACACACATACATGCATGTTATATACTCAAACACACATACACACATACAGACATCCCACGCTGTCTGCTGACTGTCAAAGCTGCACAACAGGCCACTGGAGGAGAAACATGAATCGACTCGGGGAAAAGATTTTCTAAATCAGGTCCCATCAAGTCAGCGGTGCGCTCAGACATGCATGAGTGTCTGCTCAGATAGCCAGAGTGAGTGTGTGTGTGTGTGTGTGTGTGTGTGTGTGTGTGTGTGTGTGTGTGTGTGTGTGTGTGTGTGTGTGTGTGCGTGTGCGTGTGCCGGGGGGGGGGGTCTCTGTGTGTGCAAACTTAAACGATAATCCAGACTGAGCGCTGATACAGAAAACATATTCACAGTCATGAACAATAACTGATTTAACTACACAAATAAGATTAGAGCCCCCCCTCCCCCATGCACATTACTCTGCCTTCACACACACACACACACACACACACTGTAACACACACATTTTAACACACGCACACACAAAAACTCTTGCCCTGATTTACATGCTCATAAAATTATTCTTGTTTCATTTTTAGCTGAAATTACAGCGCACAAACCCGTAATTGCAGTCTTTTGGCGGGTAAAAATAATGGCTGTTTCACACATCAAAAGTTCCCCACACAATGCAGTGGGCAAACAGAAAAGAAGGGGAAAAAAGAAACACAATGACGCGTTTATAAAAAGATGGCCCGGAGCGATCCCACCCATCAGATAATTAGAGCAGGAGGAACAGCTTGTAATCATCAAGTGTTGTGGAGCTGCAGGGACCAGAGAGCGAGTGAAAGCAGCTCTGTGTCTGAGCTGTTAGGATAACCAGAACACCATCAATTAACACACAAGAGGAGACAGAGCCGGGGGTCATACATCAGGTGGGGTCAGATGTTTGGGAAGACAAACTACACATCAACACGTGGAGGTAAGAACACTGTCTGAACACCATCTCTAAACTGATCTGATGTTCAAACTGGGACCTGGTGTGGACCAGTTGGACTTGTGAGGAAGTCATAAATCTGTTTACCCAGACTCGCTCTAACAAAATTAAAGGACTTGACTCCCAATTATTTTAAAAAGATCACTTTGAGATATGACGTCTTTTTTGTGTTTACACTCCCATCACTGTTTTCACCCCTTTTCCATCAGACTGGCCCTGGTTCTGGTTTAGAGCTGGTTTAAACTTTGAACCATCCAAGAACCAGTTTGGTCTTCTCCTGGCAAGGACCACGTTATTACGTCACTGCATACGTCAGTATAAACAAAGACTTTCTTCAGAGTTTAGAAACACAAATAACCAAAAAGTCTGAGTACAAGACTGGCTCTTTGACTTTAAAATACAGTTATCATCTTTTATTTAAGGTCCAGGATCAGAGGGGTTTTATTCAGGCTGCAGCACGGGAACTAACAATGTCTCCAAGTGAGACAAACAATTTCTGCAGAGTTAAATCCAGAAGAAATTACTTTGATTTTCATGAAACTTTTCAGATTTATTTATGCACATTAAAAACTTTAAAGTTTTACTGTTTTCTATTAATTTAAGTCCCAATCCAATCATTTTTTAAACTATTTTAAGTGTTCTCAGTCGTCTTTAAATTGTGAAGTTTTTAGCCAAAATCGCAGTAACTCAGTAGATCAATAGCAATTCGCCTCTGAGTTGTGGGTGGAGACAGCGCTGCTCTGCACACTCCTCTTCATGCTAGCTTGCAGCCTAACGTTAAAAAAATCACAAAACAGCGATCCAAAAATAAGATTTATAACACAAAAATGTCAGCTTTCTGGAAAATGATGGTCATTTAGCATGAATTACTGTATCTATGAGACGTGGCATAGAGTCAGTCTGTGTCTCTGCTGGGGTCTTATTGAAGTCCAGGTCTCCTTTAGCCTGTATGTATTGTTGCTTTAGTGTCTCTCATCTTTCTCTTGATGATACTCCAGAGATCCTCTATGGGGTTCAGGTTAGACCAGTTGGCTGGTGAAACAAGCACAGTGACACCATGATCAGAAAAGTATTTGGTGGTAGTTTTGGAGCTGTGGGCAGGTGCTAAAAAGCAGATCTGGATGTCCGTAAAGCTCCTCAGCTGATGGAATCATGAAGTTTTATAAAATCTTCTGGCAGACTTCAAGCTGCATTGACTCACAATTTTATCCACTCTCAAGTTTTTAACATTATAACTGATTTCATTTTCACTATCAATGCATCATTTTTCAGCTTGTAACACTTCATCCTCCTTTGCAGGAAACTTGCTGTCCTCTGCTTTTGCATGAGTGTAATTGTGTATGTGTGAGTGTATGAGAGTGTTTGTGTGACCAGGGCAACCTCCAGATAACCCCTGATCTCTGAAAATGTTGCTGAACTCTGAGCAGAGGAAAAGTTTTGTCAGCTTTGAATTCCTCTCTTTTCGTTTTTTTTTTTTTTCACACAGTGGACATCTTGTCAGGAAACTAATTGCATTTTAAACAACAGAGAGGAGCGAGGGCTGTACAATTCTCACATCCCCATCAGGCTGAACTCCATCAAGTCTGTCTGCATGTTCGTCTGCACAGTCTCAAGTTTGAGAAGAAAGAGGGGCAGCGGGTTTCACACCGTCGATCTCTGCAGAGTTTAACAGAGGGAAGAAAAGAAAAACTTTGAGAAGAGGTGGAGCGTGTTTTTCTCCGACTCTCTGTGTTTAGCAAGTGTCAGACTGAAGGCATTGTCTAGAAGATGTTAAAACTCATCTTCTCCCTCAGATTCCTCCTGTCACCTCCACTTGTTCAGATCTGAGTAAGTGTGACACCTCA